ACCTATTGTTGTTTAAAAGTATTAAATATCTTTGTTTATACTTCACATCCCGCGCTGCAGCCAAGACCGATGTATAATACGCACCATGTTTTATTACAGAGACAAGCACATAATTGATAATCAGTGCACAAATGCTATTTCTACTATTCATAAAAATGAAGCTCGGGAGACCACAACGAATGAATTCTACAGTAATGCAGAAGTGCCTCCAAGCCAAAAACAGCTAATCATAGCCTATTGGAATTAAAAAGAACTACGAGACAGAATGTAGCGAATAAAAATGTAAGTTTTTGATCTTAAAATACTTTTATAGTGCCCATATTAGCTAGTCAGAATATTGTAACTATTACCAGATTAGGATATATTAAATACCTGTCCTGATTTGTTAAGTACCTAATCGTGTATTAAGAATAATTATTGCAACTTTAATGAAATTTATTTACAGGTAATTTAACTTGCACATCAACGAAACAATTTAAACATCAGAGGCAGACACTCAGAAACAAAATAATAAGAAGTATAATGAAATAAAGATGGAGTATGGAAATAAAAAAAAGTTAGAATATCGGTTAACTATAAAACAGCATATATTTCGCAATAAAATAAATTTTTTGGTTAAGAAATATACATTATTAGCATTTAATTTAAATATAAGTAAGTTACTATACTAACTAAATATGTATAAGTAAAATATACTTGTTTTTATATTTCAAGTGTTATATTTTATAAAGATTAATTTAAGATTAAACATGTTAATAATATGGTTATTTCTTTGTATTCACCTAAAAATACATACCATTTAAATATTACTTAACAATTAAAATGAGTCAACAATAAAGATGTGCGCACAGAAGTGTTTTTTTATTTATCTCTGAAAGAGCACCAATATCTTCTTGAACTATCCTAAGATATACTTGAGAAATATCCTTTCCTGTTCCTGTACAGCTCAGCTTGTGGCTCACTAGTTGACTGTATCTTTGCATGTGTGCAGTCAAATGCCCTGATCAGATTTGGAAAAGATCGAATTTTGTAGGATTCTGTTTTTATCCTTGTACAATCTTCATGTTTACAGGGCATAGTAATCGCTGCAGATTCTTTTGTTATTATTATACAAGCCGTAGATTTGTGCACTCTCAGCAACCGTAATTTGAAACGCTCATGTGGCATGGTAATAGCTTATTGTCAGTAACACCTATCCAAAGCACTGATAGAATGGTTCCTCAAAGTGAACTGTTTAATATTCGGCACTAACATGTTAACTAGTACCTAACAGCACAAACGCCTTTGTCCGTTGGGTGGTACTGATTCTTAAATTCCTCTTCATTGTAGAAATTAAACGGATTCATTTTGGTCTTATATCTTCATCGCTGCTGGATGTGCTGATACTCATCATGCTACTATCCGAAAGAAACATTATCGTAATCTAAAACCAGAATCAATGTAAGTTAATCAAGACATCAAATAATTTACACTTAAGTACAAAGAAAATTGTATTATTACAAATAAAATTTCGTAATACATATTTCTGTGTAACATACCTTAAAAAAATATACTTATTTGAAGAGAAAATGTAGACTCACGTGAAAAATCAGTTGAATTCGTAAGTTAATTCGCCAACAAGCACCGATTAGTTGACCGAGCTTTTGACAGACGAATAATCTATGATCAAGGCTTGACCAGCGTTTCAGAAACCCAAAATTGCGATAATCATTCGATTCTTGAGTTGATTTGACAGCCATGTCAACTGACATGATGATCAAATTAGTTGATTAATCATGCTTTATGCAACCCAATTGACACTTGACAAGAGATTTAACAGGAGATTAGTTAATTTTAGCGTTGACAAGCCTTTCAGAAACCGGGCGTAAATGTTATTATTAAGAAATTCGAAAACAAAATCAAAAATCCAAACAATCTGAAGTTACTTAGAAAAATAACTTATTTAATCAAAGTTCGGACAGGCATCAGCGATAAAGATCTTCAGCTCATTATGAAATTTATTTCACGAGGGGAGATATGGAATCGATCATTTACTGTTTAGGAAAGCGTTTGGAGACAAGAGAAATACTTAAAATAATACTCTGATTGTTTCTAAAGACACAAAGCAGAAACGAGTATTTTTTGAGGGCTAAGTAAAAGTATTTTTTACGGCAGAAAACGAACAGGCTGGTACCTTTTTTTTCTGTCAGGGGAAAGTTATCAAATGACCTCACCCGCCCAGGGAAGGCGAGAGAGAGTAATCAGACTCTTACTGACTAAACCCCCCCCCCGTTCCTTCTCCTTCTCTGGGCCGAGGTCGCGGTGACTCATTGCGCTTAACCCGCAACCCCGGCTGAACATAAGCCCTATAGGGCCCTGTCTGTGGTGGTCTATTGGCTCTTTGAGGCACGCGCAGAACGCTACGCGCCGTTCGCTCGGGTCTGGATATGGTCGGGCGGCGAGCAACCCTTACTCGCTGTCCGCACTTACGGCACCTGATGGTGAGCAATTGGCGCCTACCATTGACATCCACAACACCAGAGGAGTTGAGTGTCTTCCTAGCATTTTGGTGATAAGTGGTTTCAGGGATATAAGGATTGGAGAAGGATGGGGTGGGGAAAGGAATAGGCCTGCGGTAACCCCATTTAGACGTGTAAACACAACACTGTGATTGTTCCACGCCAGTTTTCTGTGAGGTTGATCTATCACTCCGGTCATCAAGATGGTGTCGTGCCAAAGCATGACTCTGCTATGTGAAAATCAAATCGAAAGCAATTCAAAAGAATATTATGAAAACCGGTTTAAAACCTCCAGAAGGCTGCTATGTTGAAGCACAAGGGTAAAAGTTCGATTATGCAAGAAAAATTGTTGAGTATTTTTAGACAAGATATTTTCCAATTGAATTATTAAATTAATAAATACTATAAATTATAGATATTATAGATTATATAATTATACTAGCCTATCCTCCCCAAAAAAACCCATATATTATCAAATTTCAGCAAAATCGTTATACCGAGATCACATGCTTTTTCAAGTTATCAGTGTCATGCCGGGCTTATTTGTAAATCTAAACCATCCAGGGCGCCACTCAGCGCATACAGAAAAAAACATTTAAATCAGTCAATCCGTTTAGGAGGAGTTCAATGACATATACGCGTACAGTAGAAATATATATAATATAAAGATTATAAACGCGAAAGTTTGTAAGAAGGTATATGTATGTGAAGAATGTATATGTATAAAATACATATTGTAGTTGCAAATGTCACCTAAAATCGTCACAATATTAAATAACACCAAAATATAACCAAATAAATTAAAACTTTTAATTTGTTCTTTACATTTTTCTCTAACTTAAATACGTATATCTTGATGACAGCTGTAAGCACCACCTGTGGCATTGCAACAAAATGGCGACTGCCAGTAGCGTCCATCCGTTCGTTCCCAACGATTACCAGTTTTATGAACGTGTCGTAAAATTATAAGGATTTTGTACACAAACCTCTAAATATATGCGCTGCGAGCGATGCGATACAAAACCATAAACATATACAGTAGGGCCGCCGTATCTTGGCGAGTCTGAAGTTAGTCTTTTTTCAATGGATCTTTTAGGAACAAAATTGTATACTGCGCAGCTAATCGGCTAACTTCAGACTCGCCAAGGTACGGCGGCCGTATTGTACTTAATTCTTTTCAAAGACAAGATGACAGCGCATTTGTGACTTTTCCTATACTAGAAGCACGGGTTACGAATGTCGATGGGTGGCGCTGATCGCCTATATCGCATGATTTGTGTCCTCGTTTTCCCTCTAGTCCCAAATTGAAAGTAAAACACTTTTATACAAACACGCATAAATACATACATACATTTATACCTACAAATAAATTAACGCTTGTTTTTATAATTTATTGGAATATATTTACTGGCAGTTACTAGCAAATCAATTCCAATATATCCTTTTCTCGATAGAGGATCTCCGGCCACCGTAAGCGCGGGTCTGCGGACAGCGAGTGAGGGTAACGCGCCGCCTGACTGAAACCGAGCGTAAGGCACCTCAAAGACCCAATGGAGACATGAGCCGTCACAGACGGGGCATTATAGGGGGTTAAGCCGGGGTTGCGGGGCAAGCGCTATGAGGCATCGCGGCCTCGGCCCAGACAAATAGAAGGAACAGGGGAGTTTTAGTCAGTAAGAGTCTGACACTCCCTCCCACTTAGGGTGGGAGAAGTCATTCGATGATTTTCCCCTTAAAATACATTTTCTAATCGCATTGAATACATCAAAAGCTTAACATAAAAGGTCGTCTCGTAAACGTGTCGTAACATGTAATAAAATGGCGTGAAATTTGACGTTAAATATCTTTTTTTTACATCAGAAAATTTCGCGTGAGTATGTAGACTGAAGTGATATGATACTATATTGTTGGGGCTAATTGCGATCACGTACCGCGGACCGTAAATAGCTTTCGTGAACGGTATTGTTATGTCACAATTTGTTATAACGGTTTGAATTATTGTGCTTTGGTTGTAAGTGCTACAAATTAATTGTGGGATGAAATTCATTTTCGTCGGTGGTGTGGTTTGAAAAATTGGTTTAAAAGACATATGTAATACGTGTTTTATTCTAAGGCTTATTTTTAGGGAATCGCATAAAGTGAGAAGCCACTTCACCTTCTCTTTTGTTCACCCTTGGTGGAACGAGAGTGGCTTTTCTAAAAACCATCCCATTTTTCCTGCTCCGAGTCAGTACCGCAGTAGCGGTCCATTGTTGCGCTTGCATCCGCTACCCTGACTGATTATTAAGTTAGGCTCTCTAAAGTAATAAAGTACCTATTCAATGATTTTGACAACAGCTAGGAACAATAAATAAGGTACATTGTTCCATCCATTGTTATGAATTTCGAAAATCGAAATACTTAAATCCTTAATTTTGTCGTACAAAGTATTATTTGATCTCAATTGTCTATAATCAGTCAAAAAAAGGACAAATAAAAAAAACATAATTATGAATCATCAATTTATTTTGTCGGCGTTGCGTCGGATTTGGTAGTTGCAGTGGCAGCAGCATCGGTTACTGGGGTAGTCTGCGCCTTATCTTCCTCAGTTTCCTCTTCATCCGTTGCCACAGGTATGTTGAATCTGGACGAGTGTTGTGTCTGCAACTCTTGAACTTCTTCCACGTTTGGTATACGAAGTGCCATGATCGCTGCACCGTAGTTACCTAGCCCAGTGTCCCAGAAAACAATCTGAAGAAAAAGAAATATTTAAGCATCAGTGATAATCTTACGGCTTTTATTTTTGGTAGTCTTGTGAGAGACAATGTCGGACTTTTACAAACTAAAAACCTCATTCTTAATCTTTCTCTGAACTGGTCTCTCGGCTATTAGCTCCTAGAGGCATATGTGGTACATTCTGGTTCTGTTCTGCAGCAACCTTTCTTTGTTTACCGTTTACAGTTTGGCTATATCACACAAAGAAAATAAAATCTTATGTCCAACTAATTCTAATCTGATACCTATAAAACATACATTATAGAATACAGCCCACTCTCTTTCCATCTCTCTCGACTTCAAATTGTACAACTGTACAATTAACACTGGATAGATCGTTTCAGATCGCTTTTAGCTGAAAGCGATCACATCCAGTGGCTATCTGACAGACTACAAGCAAGTGATCAACCAAATACTAAAGGCAATGTTCAAAAAAAGAAAAACACTTCCACCAGTTTTTCTTTTCCTATCGACAACCTGTTGACGTCAATCGGTATCAACGATGCATACTAAATCCTGAGTAAAAAATCTGATGGCCAAATAGTCTAGCACCCACCAATCATTTGGGACGATGGATAGAAGCGGTAAGCACCGAATAGGATAAAAGACTTGCATGTGTAGTAAATTGTGGACGAGCTGCGCTTTGCTTGCGAACGACGGTAAGCTGAAGTGATATGAAAGGCGGTAAGTAGTTTATTTTAAGGTGTAAGTATAATTACGTTTTTCCTAAGCGTGAGGATTTTCAACTTGTCACTGTCTAGTGCGCCTATGGTTAGTTAAATATACAGAAATGATTTAAACAAGGATCGTATTAAAATCTTTATAAAACCTAAAAAATGAAGATCTATCTATGTACAGAAAATGATGTTTATATTTATATAAAAATTTCGTGTCACGTGTTTGTCTGCGATGGACTCCTAAACTACTAAACCGATTTTAAATTTGATTTGCTTTCCGTGTGCATTTTGATCCAAATTGAAAGATAGGATAGCGTAAATCTCAATTTATAGTCACAATATTATTATTTACCTTAGCCACAGCAACGCGTGGCTGGGTCTGCGGGTTAATTATAAAATTAATGATATTTTATTTTAATCTATTTGCATTATTTCTTTATACAGAGATAGTAGTTTTCAGAAGGAACCAATTTTATACCACCTACATTTTAAGCGACAAGTAGCTAACTTTTCAGTAATATGTACTTACAATACAATTTAGGTGTCTTCAAGGCTAGAGTGAATAGGCTCTTAATAAACTAGTGCGCCTTACCATCAACGATTGCATCACTGCTTACCATCAGGTGGGATCGCAGTCAAGCACTAGTTTGTTGCAAGTAAAAAACTTACTTTTGTCCCACTAAAACTCGATAAACATTTAAAGAAAAGACATTTACAGTAGTTAAAAATAAAGCTGAAAATCGCCATAAATGTCTTTTCTTTAAATATTTTGTCGAGTTTTATTTTAAGACTAACCTCCCCGTCAATCAAATATCGCACGTAGTAAATTTCATTCAACTTTTCGAATCCTAATTCTTGGGCGATTGTGTGTAATCTTGCTGTTGTAAATATACCAGCGATTCCGGCAACACCAGCGCTAGCACTTAATGCCATTGCTGCTTTTAACATTTGTTTTGCTAAACCTGAAATCATAGACGATGTTTATATGTTTATAGGAGAAATAAAAAGCCTCAGAGAAAACTTTACAAGAGTGATACAACGGCCTCACAGAAAACCAGCGTGAAACAACTACAGCGTTGTGTTTCGCCGTGTGAGTGCGGTCAACAGTGGCCCAAGCCTTCGTCCCTTTTCCCAACCCCTGCCTAATCTTGAAACTCAAAAAGAATAATTCCCAAAAGGCCGGCAATGCACTTATTACTCCTCTGGTGGGCGGCGATTACTTACCATCAGGTCAAACAAAAACATAAACAATCATAGACATACAAACAAATTCTTCGATAGGTTAGGTTAGAAATGGTTGGCCACAGAATTGTAACTATCCAATTATTAGTATTCTCAAGTGCAAAACTAGTTTTGTCGTAAGCACATAAACCACTATTTCAAACAGTTTTCATAAAACTAGACCTGCTATATAGGTATAATAATCAAAACCTTATTAGCTGCAGTTTTTTAACATAGCAATAATACTATACGATTATTTTGTTATTTAACGAACCTCGATGCCTGTACCTTTTCTTCAATGCGATGAGATATATCTTGAAGTATCTTTTAACACCTAATTCATCGTAGATACAAACTGGTTTCTCAATCTCATTGTAGAATTTCATCACAGTGCTGTACAAAGGATTGTGGGTCAACTTGACGCGGCTGAACGTCCTTGAGAAAGCACCTGATGAAAAAATAATCAATAACACAGTTAAAACTGTCAAAAGCAAATAAGCACAGGGATAAGTGATTATGATTCAGCGCCACCTCTTGGTTGTTTGACAAAAGTTAGTGGTATCCTGGAGATAAAGGAGAGATTCTTTGGCACGAATTCTAAACCTGGGTATATCAATGCGACGTATATTTTGCAATAAAAAAATGTTATGTCAAATTTTTATATTTTATATGTAAAAAGAAGCCGTTATACCTATGCATAGAACCTTTCGCTATCTTTTCATCGATATTATCTTCTTCTACAATAGTTTTTTTAAACCATAATCCACGAATCTGTTTTCAGAAAACTCACTAAGAATTGTATCGCTTTCGCATTCAGCTGTTTCAGAATTTCAATGTTGCTTGTCTGTTTATTTTGTTTAGCTAATAGCTTCGGATTGGGATGTAACATCACCTCACGTTGAGTTTGTAGTCAGTAGTTCTGTATTTGTCTTGATGGCATCATCGCCCCTAATATAGACCTACCCGTATCTGCTACTTGGAATCCAATTTACGTACAAGAAATAGGGTTTGAGTAATAGGCGGTAGCGTCGGGATGTAAGCAAAAAATAATTATTACAGTTGTTTTACTCCACGTTAGTACTCTGTTTTTAAATTGAACTTTCCAAATAATTTATGGATCGTTTAATTATTAGACCAAATGAAATATTTTTTCTACACTTCCAAACTAAAGTTTTCGGGACAAAAATGTTAGAAGAAGAATAGTTATTGAATGTCCTAGTGAATGTCATACTGCGAATAGAGAATTGTGGTCACAGTATAATATGAGCTTTTAGAGTATACAAAAATCTATTTTCTGTACGAGGTAGTTTTGTATTTTATTATGATTAGGTAACCATTTAAAGTAGTAGCAATTTGGCAAATTTCAAAAAAAAACTAAAAAAATAATTCTTAAAACTTGCACCAAACAAAGACCCCTGTAGCTGAATCGGGAGTTCTTTTTACGGATGCAGTAAAAATTTAGGCTCGAAGCATTCAAAGAATCTGCCCCCTAATGTTACTGCCATCGGTTCCAAACGAAACGAATTCGATGCCTTTCGATTGATACGCAAATAGATTCAGAATAGACGGCACTATTCAGTGAATTGTAATTTTTTGGAGGTTCTACTATAAGAATGTAAGTAGACTAATATGTAAGAGGGTCTCATTGAGTTAGGGTTCAGGTTAGATTTTCAGGCCTTATAAAATATCCGAGGGTATAGCAAAAAGCGTTCAACGCATGCCTCAGAGAGTCAACAGATCACCACAGATGGGGCCCAACAGTGCTGATATTCACGTCATGTAAAACTTCTATGATAAAAAAAATTTAATTAGGATATTTTATCTCATTACTAGCTAGTCTCGCGCAGTTTCACCTGCTACTCGGCTCCTACAGATCATAAGAGTAGCGTAATATTTTACAGCCTATACCTTTTCTCGGTAAATGAAGTAACTAACACAAAAAGATAATTGTTCAATTTGAACCAATGGTTCCGGAGATAAGCGAGTTCAAACAAACAAGATCTACAGCTTTATAATATTTATTATATACAATTTTTAGCTTTTAGGCCACGATATATGGAATATGAAAAATATGTCAACATATCCATCTCTACAACTTACTCTTCTCCTGAATCCTCATGATGAGTACTCCAACCAATTGATCATTTCCCTCACTCACAGCAGCAAGGGACATTTTATCCTTCATCCAAATCCTGACATTATGTATGAACTCGTCTGTCGCTTCTTTATCATCTACTATTTTCATAGACCTGTACGTTATCTGCAAAGCAAGAAGCAGTTGTTAGTGTCTGCCAATCAAATTTGATTGTTCCTAACAATGCAAAGAGTTTAAAATCCTAAAATTCTGAGGTCTGCTGACGTGCCTCTGTAAAAGTCCAAGTTGTTTACTGCTTAAATATAAGGCAAAACCACGTAATAAAAATATTTGAATATAGTTTTTTTAAGTAGCAACATTTTTGCACAATAACGTAGGTACATGTGCTGAAATTTTCAAATCACAACCACTCATTGAAATTGTAACTGAATTGTCATTAATTTAAATTACATTTTCCATTGAACAATAAGCCTAAGACTCAAGGTTCAACGACCTAAATACATTCCACTAAAAAATATTCGCCTAAATCTTGTTCAAATTGAGAAAGTACTAGTTCAAAATAAGATTAATAAAAATTAAGCATCAAAAAAATATTCTTCATAAAATTCTTATAATTTCAACAACACAGTCTAATTCGAAAAGTATTTTAATCAAATTAAAAAATTACAAATAAAAATATTTTCCAAGCATATTGTTGAAATTGGACATGAAAATGAATAGAGACTTATTTTTAATAAAGTTTAAAGATGGTTTATTAAAGTAATCTCTAAAGTATTTTTCAATCTATGGAACGAGTTACGTGGTCTTATTGTAAGCGGGATCCTACTATGATCACGTCAATCTATATTATTCAGTCGACCTATAAATTTTCTACTCGTCGAATTTGTAATCTATTATAATAATATTATAGGCCTTTTTCTGTTATAACTTTCTTGAGACATATTAATTTAATTACTTATGATATTTGATGGCTTAATTAGGTAACTGTTTGACAAACCGGGATTGCGAGCCGAGCACTATACTGTATCGGAACGGGCTAGTTGCTTTTGTATTTCAAATCAAAGGTAGTTGAGAATAGAATTCAAAATACAAAACATGACGCAATGGTTTAAACCTGGACTAAAGATAAATCTTGTTTTGTAATAAGGGGTTAGAATTTCCCTATACAGGACTGAAGTAGTCATTGTACAATTTTTAACCACAAAAATACACTTTGCGAGTCTCTTATACAAGTGATAGGACTAGCGAAACCATCAAACCTTACACTAATATTATAAATGCGAAAGTAACGATGTTTGGACGTTTGTTGCTCAATCACGACAAAATGGCTAGACGGATCTGTATGAAATTTGGCACAGAAATAGGATACACTACAGAATAGTACATAGGCTACTTTTTATCAACATACCACGCGAGCGAAGCCACACCCGGAAGCTAGTTATAAATAACAGGTCAAATTATTAGTTCTTACAAAATAATCTAATTTAAAAGAACAGCGACCAAATTTCCCGTCTCCATTCCTAGTCGCATGCCCGCTCAAAGCTTTAATTAAGTAAATTAAGATTTCCGAAGGAACGATTCATCTTTTTTGTTTTTAGCCTTTAATTAAATAGTCAGCTACGAACCAATTGCCGCATTCTTTGTAAAAACACGTAATTTTTCTTGTATTTTGATAGACAAGGGTTACAAATCATTTATGTTAAGGTCTTGTATTTTTCTTTATTTCAAATAAGCATATCAATTCGTTTCAAGAGCTAAATAAGACTTTGATTGTTTTTTCAACACAAATAGTGACTACACATTCGTAGCAGAGAGCTACGGCGTAGTACCCAGCGTAGCATAGAAAAAAATCGAATCGCAAATTCTTTCCTTTCGCCTATCTTACTCAAACGATCTTTGTTTTATCAGATTTATCTACACTCTAAATTACACTTTTCTTTTTATTTCATTAGAAAATATTATGTCATAATATAAAAGTGAGATTTTCTTTTAAAGATAATAAAACGAATAATTTGACAAGTGACACGTTTATTGATTCTAGTACGGTACGAAGACGACCTGAACAGCTAAATGTAATTAAGCGACAACTGAAATTTAACGATGAGTGACAGCCCTAGGTACCTCTTAGTGTTGATCAATACACTGAAATTCCAATGGAATGATATTAGTTCAATACCTCGTAATGGCCTACTGCTCTTAAGCTCTCTCTTAATTTTTGAAGTTGTTTTAAGATTTTTCTTTTGTCGTATGTGAATTTAAAAAGAAACAATTTAATACCCTACACGTACACACAACCAACTCACTCGTGAATAACACAGAGAGTTGGTTGGGTCGAACCTACGACACATTGCCTACATAGCTCGCCGCCCGTCTAAAACCTGAATATTTTTGATACGGAATGCCACTCATTTGAACTCACCACAGATGGAGATCAATAGGGATAATGATGTCAGTTGGGGATTTTTTTTTTTGTGAGGCTGCTTACAAAACTTATATAAAAATTGTTTATAAAAGTTTTGTCTGGTTGTGCTGGCTAATCTTTGGAATGGTTGAATTGATTTTAACCGGAATTTTATTTGTAGGTAACTGAAGTGATAAGGAGTATTTTAGGCCACTTTCGTTTTAGAAAAACATCTCTTATTTATACGAGTAAATACCTCCAAAAATATAGTGTTCACGCGCGATATCGAAAAGCTATGCAAATTTTATGCAGACAAAATCGCTGGTGTAAGCTAGTATTAAATATTACATCACCTCTTCAGGCAAATAGTGCTTTTTCAATAATTTTACAGCCTCATCATATCTTCTATCCTGAAGGTCTTCGAATCTGATGCCACTAGATACCCGGCCCCATATGGATGGGGCCTTTATCCTTTCTTCCAGAAGTTTCATTCTTTCCAACGTTTCTGCATCGTTTTTCGTCATGATTGTGCAACTGAAATTACAGGTTTAGTTAGTTGATTGTTTCGTTGAAACAACAAAAAGATGTTTAGGTTGCTTAACAGAAAAGAGGCCTAACTCAAAAAATAAGGTATTTGAATCTTAAAAATTATGCTTCAATAATAAGATTCTATTTTGGAATATCCTCTCTTATGAGTTAGTTCTTTTTTCAATTTAACATGCGTTTGTGTGGATTAGCCATGCTTCGGCACGAATGAATCGGCTCAGTAAGCGTGATACTATGGACTTAAAGAAATCTGAGGTGAAACAACCAGCGATGTATTTCGTGTCGTGAGTGAGCCACTGCCTCCAATCTCTGCCTATTTCCTAAATCTCCAACTCCTAAGTCCCCATCGGCCAGCAATGCAATCGTAACTCTTCTGGTGTTGCGGGTGTTTATGTGGTGCCTATTGCTTACCAGGAGGTAATCCATAACTGCCAGTATGCAGTGCTATTAAATAAAAAAATACAATATATTAATATATTAACGGCACAGTAGACACCGTGGTTGGGCGACCAGCTGCCGTGCAACATGTCACGGAATCAACTCGCACGGAATTACTTTTTGCGTGATCCACAAATTGTTGTCCCAGGTTTGTGTATCAACAATAAAGAGAAGAAGCAAAGTGCAATAATAACTCACAATTACTGTCTCCAAAAAATAATACAAGTAGTAATAATAAAGGACCAACCAACCCGTTTTAATACGAATTAGATTTTCTTTTTATTCGTATTCTTTCATAACATCATCAGATTTTTCTATCAATTCCATCAAATATTTAGCTCATCAAAACAATGAAACTAAACAAAGAAATAGATTATTCTAACTTATAAATAATTATTTATTTAAGCATGTCAATATTATTGACAAAATCTAATGACACGATCAAAGTGACAGTTTGATTTTTACACGTAACAACAAAATAAATTGTCGTGTCACAGATACTTTTTTCAAGACAAAATACTTTTTTAATAGATAAGCAACGGTTTTCACAATCCTCTAATTATTTCATTCTAAGAAACTAAGCAGATTCTGATGGTTATTTTAAAAGCATCATCATCAGCATCATTATCCTTTTTCCGTTCTTAATTTGATATAGCCTCTTGAATTGTACGCCACTGAGCTCGATGTTCAGCTCTTCTCGTCTAACCACTGCCAACTACCCTGCGGATATCGTCATCTGACCTACAAAAGCATCACTACTGATAAATTTAAGAAATGAAGTTAATAAATCAGTTTACCTATTATATTATGACATAATATACTTATACAACGCAACATGTATGTATGAAGTATGTAACAAGAAAGTGTGCAAGAGCTATTCTTCAGAACGCCACCCAAATATCACGGACTCACAGAAAACAGGTGTAAAACAACGTGTTTCAAAGTATGAGTGACTATCACTCATATTTTCTCCATTTCTCAAATCCCTAACATCAGTGAATTCTTTACAGCTGTGCAAAAACGACGCTGAATACCTATCATCAGGAACAAAAGAGGTATAAAGTAACTTATCATCAACAAAAAAAAACAATCCTTCAAATTGCACCCCATGTGGTAGTGGAGTAAGCAAGAAAAACTCTTTTTTTTCCTCATTTCATATCATTACGATCTTAGCTATGCAAATGATACCAAACGCCACTATAACACCACGAACAATTTCCATTCCCACCTAAACAATTACTAAGAATAAACTATAACTAATCTAACCAAGAATTCCATAAGATTCCATTTTCCTCGTCCCGAAACAATAGGAAAATGTTTACTCAATTACCCTATACTACTTACCATTTAGAATCAAGACAAGCAGGTGTGCTTGATTAAATAAGGGTATCATTGTTGAGACTATTCTGGTTGTTTGCTTCCACTATGACGAAGTTTCTATTGCTGATATAGGGATGAAGAGCAAATTATACCGTTGGGGAATATGGTCGATATTGAGTCGTAGGATTTGAAGATGTGGAAAGTTTTATACTTTTTTTTTAAAAGAAGAGGGATGGCAAAGATTCAAGTTGATGCAAAGAGACATCTAATGCACCGCGACAGCCACAGCTTCAGGGGTGTCAAGTGGCTGGCCGACCTTTTAAGGATATTTTTTAGGATCTAGATACATTTTTCGGTAACCAAATTGCTAACTACTGATTGCAATTCAGGAACCCAAGAAAACTCTGGTACGGGCAAGGTAGAGATGAATTATATTTTGATCAAGTTTGTCAACTGGACTGATTAGTTATAATGTATCGATAAGACAAATGAACTACACTATCTTAAAATAAACAGATTTCCTACATATAACATAATGTTTAAACACTCCAATATATATTTCATTTATTTTTTCACTATCTATTGATAAAAAAAATGTCGTAAAAGCCAACTAAGGGAATACACATTTGACAGAGACCAATAAGCAGGGCTCTTTGTCTGGGAGTCGGAAATTGTGTGAAAATCTCTGGCCACTATATAATAAGCGCAGGTCTGCAGACGACGAGCAAGGGTAGCTTGTCGCCCGACCAGAACCAGATCCAGGCGTACGGCGCTTAACTAATGTCCAGTTAGTGTTGCATAATGATTCACAGGCCCGGCCTGTAGCAGGAGAAGGAATGGGGTGGTTTTTATTATATAAGAGTCTTACACTGCCTTAAACCATTTGACGATCTACACCCTCAAAAAGCCACGTTGATAAACCTGAACCTTCAACTATGATTTCTAACTTATCTGCCAAGCATTATGATTACTTCAAACTGACATAATTATTTAGAGGAAGTTGTTGAGCTGTGTACATGCGTTATCACGGGATCTGAATGACCAACTTATCGGTACTTTTATATAAATCATCTAGCTTTCGACTTCAGTCGCGTGGATTAGTGACTTTTTGCAGATTTTAGACTACAATATGCAATGATAGTATTAAAAAGAGATTTACCTAATATTAACCGTTTTCTGTTAGCACAGTCAAACTATTAATAGTACTCAGAGTAATTAGAGAAATTGTTACTTAAGCAATTGTTTTTGTAACAAAATCGTCCGAAGGAAAAGTTTAATTAATCATTAAAATTGTCTGATTTAATTTTAATTCTTTTTGCTCAGAATTTTCGTATACATTTTCATTAGAAACGGTAGCCTTTTAATAGACAACTCCTGGAAAAAAGGATTTTCTAAATGTTCATTCAACATGATAATTGATAAAATTATTCGTTGTCAAGGGAATTATAACTGCAAAGCTGATTATGAAGCCAGTAGAATTCCATTAGTCATTTTCGTTTAGTCATCGGCTGGAATATATCTGCCACATTTGCTCATTATCTAGGTTAGCCCACTTTATGAAATGCTTGAGTATTTTATAAAATAGTTGCGTTTCATGATGTGACCAATTTGACTAGATCATTTTAATCGTCTGCATTTCACGATTTTGTCAAATTTATCGGTACTAAGCCTAACCGTATTAAAAAATTATCAAGAGAGATTTTTGGTATCAACTGGGAATTATTATTATTGCACCAAATAAACAAGGAAAGCGATAAGCAATAATAATATTTTGATCCATAATTTAGTATTGCTACATATTATTTGGTTAGGTTAAGTTAAAACTATCCATAATCTCTCACTCTCCCTACCCCTCAATTCCTCGAAATCGTGACCTTGAAAAGGTTGGCAGCACATTTCTATAGGTAGCACCAATTGATTGAGCCCTGATGACCAGGGTGCTTGTTTGCCGCTTTACTCCATACAAAACTATTATCAATAACACTTAAAAAAGCATGCGCTAATGGTGTCAAGGTTGAACTTAATTGGTGTTAGTCAGCAAACACGGTAATAGTCACCGCGTCCCTAGCTTTGTAGCCAATCAAAACATTTTAATCAATCTATCAATCATCGAGCACGCTTCAGTAATGATAATTGTCGTACAGTCAATCAGAGCAATAACGTGCTTTTCAAAAGACCTTTGTATAACGTGAACAGAAACTATCGATGATTAACAACATCCAAACTAATATTATAAATTCGAAAGTAACTCTGTCTATCTGTCTTTTCTTCACGCCACTACTGTACCGATTTCTGTGAAATTCGATACACACATAGTTTGGAACCCGAGAAAGGACATAGAGTAGTTTTTATACCTAGCAGAAGGATTACCCGATGGCAGTCGGCGCCGCTTATGGTCACCTGCAACAGGGAAGAGCTACAAATGCGTTGCTAGCCTTTTGAGCATAGGGATTTGAGGACTTGGGGATTTGTGGGTATGTTGATGAGGTGGGGAAGAATTGGGCCTACAGTAACCTCACTAACACAGCTAAACACTACACAAGCGGTGTTTCTCGGTTTTCTGTGGTATCACTCCGGTCGAACTAGCCATTAGCCATACAAGCCGTGCCATACTTGCTACACTTAATTAAAAAAAAGACCAAGTCTTAGACTGCTGACAGTAATTCCCGCATAAACGTCGTTAAATATTAACCACGTTTACTGCCAGAGCGTGTAAAGATTGGCTAGTCCATGGTCGTTGAGTGGTTGCAAGTACCATACTATATCGAATGTGGTCAACAACTTGGACCCAATTCTTAATTTGTAGGATAATAAATATAAAAAAATGTATTGTGGCCTAGGCCTGAAGCAGTAGAACGAACGGGGTAGCTTTTAGTCAAGAAGAATCTCTCAACACTACCATTAGCCCCATTCCGAGTGGGAAGAGTCACCTGTTTTTTTTTATTCGCAACGGGGTTGTTACGAGTGCGTTGCCGACCTTTTAGGGATTAGGGATTTGGAGATTTAGGGATTGAGGAGGGATTGGGGGAGGAGAAGGATTGAGCCTCCGGTAACTTCACACGGCGAAACACAACGATGTGGTTATTTCAAGCCGGTTTTCTGTGAGGCCGTGGTATCACTCCAGTCGAGCCGACCCATTCATGCCGAAGCATGGCTCTCTCACACTTAAAATTATGATGACTTATGATGTAGTATATTACCTACTAAAAAAAAAGATCTTCTGTTTGCTACACTTTTCTTCAAGTAAGTGTAGAATTAAAAAAATGCATGCAACATGAGATTAAATGAAATCGTGGAATGACTCTAAATTAAAATAATGATACAAAAAAAAACCAATATGAATTTTTAACCTCACCTTACACGAATTCTCACAGCAATAAAAAACCCAGATATTTACTACAGTCTTCGTAAACAAAATAAAATGGCTGCCTCCACCATATACAGCACAGCACGCCACACTGACTTGCCGAACTTGGTTCAATAGGGGAAGCGAAAAAAAAGAAAATAAATCAATACGAAGGCAAGGCGTTCATAAAAGTTTGCACGGAATCAAGTCAAATGACTTCCAACGAAGAATAGTTTAATGTCTTATGTTGAAGGGTTCCGTATATATTTTTTAATTTCAGAATTTTTTTAAAGGAGATGTAAGATTCCGAACTCATAATCGAATACAGTGTGTTAAACAGCTATTAGATAAAATTTTGCAAAGAATAAGAATAATGTGTATTTACTATGGACGGACATGTAAAGTTAACAGGATATGAGGGCTTGTGGTTGCAAGCGCAAAGATGCATCGCCGCTAGCTCGATGTAGACTAAGGAACAGGTTAGTTTTTAGTCAGTAAGAGTCTGACAATCCCTCTCACCCTGCTTATAGTGGAAAACTCAATGGATGAGTTTTTCTTGAAAAGGGTAGAAAATAGGTCATTAAATTCAATCTGATGACTTCAAAATGTTATATCTAACGCAATTTTTTATTTTTCATGTGTTAGTTGAGCAAACTATTTCACGGATTACCTGATGGAAAGCAATCATCGCCGCCCATGGTCACTCGTAACAACGGAGGGGTTACGAGCTCGTAGACGACCTTTTGGGGATTAAGGATTCGAAGATTTTGGCATTGGGGAGGGATTAGGGGAGGGGAAGGATTGGGCCTATTGTCCTCATTCAAACATTGAAACACAACGCTGTGGTTGTTTCACGCTGGTTTTCTGTTACTGTGACATCACTCCGGTCGAGCCGACCGATTCGTGCCGAATCATGGCTGTAGAACACTTAATGTTTATTATTGGGTTTTTTTATGGAATGGGTCGGCAAACAAGCATACAGATAACCTGATGGTAAGTAATCAGCGCCGCCCATGGACACCCATGGAGTAACGAGTGCGTTGCCGACCTTTTTGGGATTAGGGTTTTGGAGGTTTAGGGATTGGGAGGGATCGGGGAAGAATTGAGTCTCCGGTAACCTCACTCACACGGCGAAACACAATGCTGGTGGTGCATTTATTTTTCTTACCTTAGCTATTTTTCCTTGTTTGCTTTTAGCTTGTTTGCACTGTAGTACTCACATTATTTGTTAGCTTCTATGACATCACAAACCAATCCACTCAACAATAAAATAAGAACAGTACAATAAACATGTCTAAGCCAGATTGAAAGTAGAAAGACCGGCCAAATCTACGCCATTCGATACTTGAAATCACTTTTCGTTTGCACAAATTCTCTCAATTTATTAACGCCACGTCTTAAGTTATGCTTAATACTGAATGCCTTTCTATCAGATTGAAATGAAATTAAACTAATGAATTCAGTCAGAACCTTTCTTCTTAATCATCTACTTTAGAAGCTGCAAAAATTAAGATATCTCTTGACTATAATAACCACCCTTGAAATGTTAGAAACATCAATCCCTAAACAATTAGCACTAAAACAAATTAATTTCGAATAAAAGTGTTTGTGAATCGCCAAATCGGTTGCTAAGTACAAATCTTGTAAACAAACTTCATCGATTCTTTTTTGTTGTCTTTTT